CACGCATGCACAACAGGCAAGATGTTGCCTACCTCCAGCCAGCTCTCGCCCTCCTCGCCCTGGCCCGGGCGCACACTACCAGCCACTTCGCTAAACTGCTTTCCGAGCCTTAATCTGCTACACCAGATCACAAGTTCAGCAACAAGTTTCCCCGCGCGGCCGAGCGGGCCCGGGCGCGGCGCGCGCTGCTCCGAGAGAGAACTCGGCCCGGCCCGGCTCTGCTGGAGCTGGAGTCGCGGAATCGGTCCCCCGTGCAGCGGAAGCGGGAAATTGGCTGACAAAAGCGGAGAGAGACAAACACCTTGGCGACAGGGTGGGGAGCGTCGCGCCGCCGCCCGCCCATGGTGCGCCCGACTCCTTTAGGCGGGGCTTTCATGGCGTATTGAGAGTTGAACCCCCGCCACGGCCACGCCGCCTCACCCGCTGCTTGTTGACGCATGCGGGTGGTCCCTTGGGCGTCTTTGCGTCCGTCGCCCTCGAAGTCTACGGTTCAGTGTACGTCGACGGTTGACCACCAACCCCGCCCGTCTGTTGCAGGTGACGGACGCCAACGGCAGGACCTCTCCGGCGCACCTGCAAGACATGGGACCCAGGTAAGTCACGCCTGCCGGCGCATGCTATGGGAACCACCCCGCCGGCGGGCGGAGCTGAGCGGGTGGAAGCTGACGGGTGTGATTTGTGCGCAGGGACGACACGGGCTGCTCCAAGCGGCCGTCGCGGTCCTCGCGCGAGCTGCGCCTCGTCGTCCTGGCCGTGCTGCTGGCCGCCGCGGCCGTCGCCCTCCTCGCCGCGGTCACCCTCCTGGCCGCCTACAGTGAGTACCCACCCACCAGTCATTACCAGGAGGATAAAGAGGCGATAAATTACGTTTACACCGAAAGAAAGAGCGGTGGCGGCGGGGCCGGAGGCATTTTTGCAATTCCAATTATGCCTTTTCTAATTAATGAGGACAGAGTATTCCCGATCCTCCGGGCTGCTGACCCGTCTACTTTGAATTCGAAGGGGACGCGGAGTTATAATGAAGAGAGATTTTTTGTGATTTTTTTCTTACGGGCCATCCCGAGACAACTTGTACAGTACTGTGTGTAGTGGATCCCCGGGGGCTGCACGTCGTGGCCCCCTGCGGGCCGTGAGGACCGAGGGAGGCTACGCCAGGACGTCGCATCGCCAGGCAGAGGGGGTAGGGGGGGGGGGCCGTGAGGGCCCCCCCCCCCCAGCCGGGCGCTGAAATATGAGGCACAATGAGTTTGCGCCCCGCCGTGCCGCGCCGAGCCGCGCCGGAAGAAGAGCTGCGACCGGGCCGAGGCGGGCCGAGGCGGGCCAGGGACGCGGTGACCCCTTTTATCGCGGAGCGTGCTCTGCAGGGCCCGGCCCGATGAGCCGGCGGCGGTAACTCATCGACGCGCGAGAAAATTACAGGCTACCGGGGGGCGGGCGGGACGCGGGACGGCGGCGGCCGAAGGGGACCTGCTCCCAGCCCGCCGGCGCGCCGGCGCCTCGCGCCTCTCCTGTCACACCGGCGGAGGATTTTCCGTCGAGATATCGGCGCGGCCAGTGAGAGTGAAAGTCAACACAGTGAGCGGCGAGTCTGGAGGCGCGGAGGTGGTGTGGTGGAGGGGCGCAGCGCTCCGGCACGAGTAAGGCGGGCGGGCGCCGGGCAGGGCGCGCGGCGCCGTGTAGCACCTATGACTATGACTAGGTTCAGCCGGGCCAGTGCGCGGGTCAGGGAGCCCACTGGAGAGCGGCCGTGGCTGCAGGACACTCGGCAGGGCGCCTGCAGCCTGCTCAGGTGGTTGTCGCTGTCGCCCGCTGTCCGCTGTCTCCCTATCTCTTGGGAGCCGTGCCAGGCAAAGCTCAAGGTCACGCAGGGCAAACTGCAGGCAAGGTCTTTCTGCTGCCTTTGCCTGTGCTGACGCCGACCTACGTTACCCCTTCGTAGACCTATCAGTTTCCCCTCCCCTTTGCCCGTTCCCGTTCGCCAGTCCGAACTTTTCCCAGCAGGGCATGGTGATTGGCTCTGGCAAGGCCTCAGGCGGGCGGGGAGAGAGAAGTGCGAAACCCCGCGGGGCTCCGTGAGCTCGATGAGCAGGAGCCCAACACCGGGCTCCTCCGCCCCCTCCCCTCCCCCCACGCCTGCGTCCCTCCGTCCCTCCGGGGCCCTCCAGACAGAACGATGTTGCGGATTGTTTGCTTCTAAAGTGCGGGCTTTGCATGCAGCCATGAATGGTGGTCTCTCTCTCTCTCTCTCTCTCCCCCAACAGCGTCGTAAGCGACAAGAGGGGGAAATTTGAGGGTGGCGCTATTCCGGGAACCTCCCTTTCCTTCCCTCGTGCTAGCAAACAACAGAGTGCGGGGACATTAAGCGGCACTCGGCGGGTATGAAGGGAGATTTTTATTTTCGTGGTAAAGCAAGACTAAAGCGCGACATTGCCTCGTCTCCTTCTTAAGGGGTCGCAGTTCCGCCTCTATCTCTCTCTATCTCTCTCTCTCTCTCACAGCCCCGGCAAAGGGCCAAACTTCTCCCAGCTGCTCCTTAGTTTGACGGGTGGGG